ATATATATATATATATATATATATATATATATATAGATATAGCACACTTGTTCCAAGTGAGGCATGCATAACATCTATACACCAATCGAAAGGGAATTATATAAGATAGTATTGTGTATAATTTGTGAACTATATGTTGTGTATAATTTGTGGACTATACTATGTATTATAGCACTGAAATTGTCACTGTAGTCCAAAGACACATATGTAACTACAGTAAATGAACAGAGCGAAAACATCTAACCATCTCTCATATATATTCTAATGAAACCCTAGTGGATTGTGACACTCATTCTCCACAGACTCTCACTTTTCTCTGCAATACAAAACCCTAGAGTATCACATCTACACAGGTTTTAAAATAAAACATAACAAAACCTCAAACAAAAAGAGTACAACTACAGACACCTCTTACATTAAGACTCAAGATAATCTCATGATCAAGAATAGCCGTGTAGTTAGTCAACTAGGCCTTTGGTCGAATAGTAAGACACCCAATTTGCAGGAGAGAGGTCTAGGATTTGAACCTCCTCGCAAACTAAGCTAACCCGCCCCAGAAATAGCAATTGGATAAATATGAAAACAAAATTTAAACAGACTAATCAACTAATATATCAAACTAAACAAGGGGTGAAAAATGGCACATAGTATACCCATTCTCCATTCACAAATTAGTGCCATATGTCTTCTATAAAGTGAAAGAATAGCCCTATTTACGAACCTGAGGAAATAATGAAAGGATTTCCTTAGCAGAAACCCCTAAATCAGCTAACCCCACAATGGCCTCCAAAACATATGGACAGGTCCTGTCACAACAGCCACCCAAGAACAAACTGATTATCTACTTTGACGCATATCAATCATCCAATAGACACATTGAGTTCAATTCAACAATCGACAAAAAAGGAAAAAAAAGAAAACATAATTCATACAAACGCAGCATGAGTTAAGAAAATTTTCAAGCACACCAAATTAAGAGCCTACACTAGTAAAAAAACCTTTTAGTTTCCATTATTATAGATATATCCATGTTTTGAACTTCATAACACTTTTTTAAAAAAAGATGAAACTACCCCTTTTCAGCTTTTCAAAAACCGAAATCTTTAAAATTTTATGTTTTTAAAAAACCAAAAATTAACTCAAATCAGTTTTTGAAAAACCGAAAATCCTCCCACTCGCTAAAACCCATTTTCCCTCTGTTTTCTCTCATCCAAGAACAAGTGAGACGTTTCTCTCTCTTCACTCATGGCTTCTAGAGAATGGTGGTATCCACAATCTTGGAAGTGACCACATAAGGATCCATGTTTGAGGCAAGCCCCCTATCTTCAAAGTATCATGCATATTAGATAGTGCTCGTGCAATTTAGTCTCACAAATCCAACTTCGAAATCTAGCAAGTCGCAAGTAACAGATGAAGTAAAAGAAATGGACGACAGATGCCAAAATCAATTCTCTCTGTAATCGAGAAGAGAGAGATCTCATGGATACCAAAACATCTATCAGTTTATCTACTCGTCGTCTAGAGCGAGAGAGACATCAAGGATGGCAAAAAAGAGGAGAATGTTGCATAATTTTTGTTGATCCACCTATCTATTCATCATCTAAAGAGAGAGAGAGAGAGAGAGCCTGAGAAAGCACTCACCCTTTCCTTCGCACTCAGTCTCCCTACCAACTCTATATGAGGCACCACGATTACTGACTCCCTAAAATTTGAGAGAATAAAAAAAGTTCTTTTATTTCAAAAATCCGATCACATTCCCATTATTCTCTAAATAAAAGAAATTCTGAATAAGTTAGCAGCATTGATCACAAGTTGAGTCATGTGCACATGTTGTGCTGAACTTTGTTGAGGATTTATTCCTCACTCTCATTGGCTTGCATCCCCACATAAGAAACCATGAAGCTCTCTTGGCCTACAAGCATCCTTGGGCATCTTTGACCTCAACAAGGGACGACCTTCTGAAAGCCTTCTCCGGTAGTGCCATATGCCCAAGGTAAGGGCTTTAGACATGACCAGGACCATAGACCGTTTAACCCTAGGTCAATCAACCGACACACACACTCCCACTAAACTGTATAACATGCTCTCACGGCCTTTACATCATATTCAAGTTGTGTGCTACACAATTTGTCGATGTCTTGCGTTTTATGCAAAATGTACATTCTTTGACCATAACGAAACTTATTTGACCTAAAAGCTGCCCTTGCCCTGTACTCACACTCACCAAGGAGTAGTATGAAACGTGCTCCATCTTTTGTGATTGTTTCGTAATAACGGCAAATATAACAGATTTATACATAATTTTCCCTAAAATCGTTTGAAAGGATATTATGTTTTTATTTTGTGGGAGTTGTAAATTTTTTTTTTTACTAAATCTTTTATTTTTAACTTCCTACAATTTTGTGAGCGATAAAAGAAGTTCTAGAAAATTGTTTTAGATTGGTCTTATCATAATTTGACTAGAATTGGATAGGTGTCAAAGATTCAGGCCTTCCCTAAATCATGATGGTTGATTCATAGGATGAGTGGCTCAGATTTATTCATCTCTCACCACACAGATTTTCTAGCATCCTATTGGTCATGATGAGTCACAATTTTGGATAGGCATACCTAAGGACCTTAAGGCCTATATAAGGAGGGGACTCCCTCATTCTCTACACAATTTTCCCTAGCCTCTCTCTTCCCTCTCTCTCCTCCACGCCCCACTCTCTTCTCTCTTTGCTCTAGGTCTCTCTGCTCTCTAGGTGGCATGCCACCTCCCATAAGTCTCAAGGGTTGGCATGTACCACTCATAGTTAGAAAGAAAGAGGGCACACCCAGATTAGGGGAGGTGCCTCAAAGTGGAATGCCCCAAACGATTTGAAGGCGTCTTGAAACCCTAATTGTTTCTTGTTCTTGAAATCCCTAGATTTGTAAGGCATTGCCTAAGGAAGCTTCTTAGTTCAGAAAAATCAGCAAGGCCAATAGTATTAGAATGTCATCGGTAAGGAAATCAGGTGTGGGGTATACTAAGCCCAAGGGGGTGACCCTAGGCAAATTCAAGTAAGTCTTTTCAGCAGTTTTAGTTTTATTTTAAGTAATTTTTTCATATTTACTTGAATTTCCAGGAACCGTATTTGTACTAAAAGCTATAGTCAAAGTTTGTCTTTCAATCATGGATTGTGTCTATTCTCTTTGACAGTATAAGGAAAGATCTAAGATATATCTAGGGTTTTGCTTCTCGTTTACAGCAGTGTTTTATGGCACTTTCAGGTCTATTAATAAAAGAAAAAGAGAAAAGAATTTATTTTACCTCCTTGAATTCCACATTGCCATTTTTTCACATGATTCAAGAATTGTCCGACACAATGACAACCAAGCTCCAGAGAGTAATATGAAAAAAGTAACCTATAGAGACATAGAGAATGTTTGAGGATCACAAGACATAAATGAGATCCAGCAACGATCTCAACCTGAGTATATTATTGAGTAACTAACAAAGACAAGTACAAACATCAGTTCCATACAACCAGGACAAATATGTGCGCAAGAGTAGAAGTTTGCAGCTCTGAGCTCTTCTGTATCATTCAATGATAGCATCTAGTTAATTTCATGAAACAATTTGTGCTTTTTGGAATGACTCACAGCTTTCTCAATTGAGATTTTTTTTTTCTTTGAAGGTTTTCAATTGATCTCCACAATGCAATAAAACAGAGTGTCTTCAGAGGTAAGAGTAAATGTTACTTAATAATATGGCTAAAACTCGCAAACCATGAATCATATTAAACAACTTTGAGAAGACCACAAGTAAACAGTGGTACAAGTACAAGTAAACAGTGGTACAAGTACAACCTAAGAAATAACAGACACGAATGAAAAAAAAAAAGATTCGATCTCAATATGTCATTGGAAGAGATCAATAGTTGGTTGCATGTTGTAACCAACCTCAGGCACTCTTTGTAGGCTGCTGTAGCTGCACGGTTCTGTCTAGACACCCGACAAAGCCTTCCAAGAATTAGGTTCATCCGCAACGTTCTTGCCTTGTATGGAATACCCTCCAGCTGGATTATCAGATAATGCAGTATTTCACAGAACACAGATGCGGTGTTAAAATAACAGCGAATTAAGATATAAGAAAGAGCAATTATCTCAGTGTGTGTGTGTGTGTGTGTGTATGTATCAAATTCTGCAAGAAATACATCTCAGACAACTGTCACAATTTTTCTGTTTATAATATGAACTCCCCGTTGGCAAAGCTTACATAATGACCAGTCTTACATAATGCTGAGGGAAATGCAATTTATTACCAAGAAGGAGATCATCCAACCACCTTAAAATAATGCCACCCATGGAGCCACTCTAATGAAGTTGCCTAGGCATGCAAGACCAGTATTAGGCTGAAACAGCAGCTCAAAGGTTTTCAATTAACAGATTTCTACCGCTGGAAAATTTTTGAGGTGCTCGGTACTAGAAAAATATCAGGATCCCTAAAGGAGCAGTAATATAAGAATAGAAGTGAAGTATCAACAGGAGAATACGAATGTGAAATCTAATTAGAAAGGAGTTCAGAAGATTAAGGATGGATGAATTATAGCGGGCCAAGTTCAAGAATGGCTGACTTTGCAATCAAACTTCATGATAATATTAAGGTCATATGGAAGTGCCCATTAACGGTGAGCTAAAGCTTAAATTTAACAGCTCTACTGGTAGTCGCAGTCCCACAAGGGTCGCATGGTTTTTCAAGGATGGTATTAGCAAAGTTCCAGAATTTTGCATGGGGTCAATCACAATAGTGGATTCTATGGAGGCAAAGGCTAAGGCATATCTTAGCAGTCCTCTTGTCTAACATTGCCCTCTTAAGAAGACTAGATCGGAGAGCAAGTTGCTCCATGCCCCACTAAAGGAAATTGTAGGGAGTTCTTGCTTCTAGAATATGAGATTTCAACAAATGCACAGGGAAGCTAAAGATGTGATTGCCATACTAGCATGCAGTGTTATCAAATGCAGCAACATAACACATTATGTGGCATATAGGGGTATAAGAGTAAACAGTTCTTAATGCATGCATGCAAGCACGCACGCATGTACACACACCCACACACCCACATGTACGCACGTAGGCATGGGCACACGAGCACAGACACCGATCTCCACATTGATGAAGTGGAATGACCCAGCTTCCTTCCTACCATTTAACTCTTCCTCATCTCCTTTGTCTCTTTCCTGATAAAGTTTCACATGCAGGGAGGTATATAACCCTTTCCCCAAATACCCTTTAGAACCATTTTTTCAACACCAAGAAATTACAAAATAATTTTTTATCTCAATTTCTAAGTTTTTTAGAAGTATATGTGGCCAAGGGGAGAGAGGACACAAATGACGGTTCTACAGCCTCAGCCTCAGATGAGGGAGATGCGAGCGATGGACCCCAACATGTCTGATTGAGAGTTGAGATCTTGATTGTATATATTATCTATTTTTATTTTATATCAAGTTGTCATGAACTCATGAACATTTGGTCTTTGGACTTCAGGTTTTGGATGTTATGTACTTATAATAAAACCTATCGTGGAACATACCTTGGTTGCTAGAACTTGCTAGATGTTAATATATTCTCTAATGACTTGGTTGATCACCTGGTAACTGGTATTGAACGGGATGGATTACTTTGTTTTACATATTAATTGAATTAAACTATTAGAGAACAGAGACATCGAACTTTGTCACTCTTTATCATGTTATCAGCAAATCAAACAACAGATATATCAGAGATAAGTACCAAATTAAAATGCTTACTATCACATAAATCACATATTCATATTATTCTATCCATTCTTATACTTCTCATAATCTTTTAAATATTCTTAACACGTCAAAGGTGCTCCTGCATTGAGCAGCATAGCGCATTGGACCCCGCAGAGCATCAAGTCTGCACCGGCATTTGATAACAATGCTAGCATAAGATGTGGTTTTTTAACAATGACAGATGACTTCAATAGAGTGGGTTTTGTGCACTTAAATGTAATTTATTTCGATCATTATCTAGGTGTGTGTACTCATGTGCACAGAAACACATCCCCTTTTCATTAATAATAGTATTAACTATTAACTGATAAGGCAGGAAAAGAATCTGCAAAAATCAATTTCAAGTTAAAAATAATTACAACGAAAAACTGGAACATACATGCAAAGGGCAAAGCGAGTGAAAAACATGATAATGATAGATGCTGTGACATTAGATTTTCGGATATAGGTATACATGTCAATGGATATAGATATACTTATCAAGGAAGGCTACATACACAATGTGCAAGCACTGAAGGTCCCTACATGCTTTAACATCACCCCAGGTGTCCGATGTCAACAGCAAACAGCAGGGCTGGGTCCTTTGATTTTTTGACATACCATGAGCCAATAAATGACACAAATCAGTCATCCCTTGTTGGCATTTGACAATTGGACCGATGCTAAAGCATTGGGGAAACTCTAGTGTGTATTGAATACTTTTTAATTAATTAACGCACCAGAAAAGATACAAAGTTTACTGTGAATCTCATGCTTAAAAGCTTTGCACCTAGGTAACAAACAAAAACGACGATACACATAGGTATAACAAAGTTAAAGGACAACCTCAGTTAGAGCAGCTCGATTATCACAGAGGGCAGAGTGGCAAAGAGCGATTTTAAACTTCAACTGCAATCATGAATTAGCCGTCAAATTGAAATGAAAAGCAAATGTTCATAAAAAAAACTAGAAGCAAACAAATCTCAAACTAGAAGCAAACAGATCTCACAGCTCCACTCGCACAATAGATAAGGAGCACATCATTCAAACCAAAAATTTTATAAAGGTAAACAGCGTCGACAAAGCACATCACATATCGGATCAATTACCTCATGCTCATTGATTGTCGAGATATTGAGAGAATTTGGAGAGGAAGACCTGGTTATGCAAATTGAACTTCTGGTGGTGCTTGTATTTTGCTTAGGATTAACCTTGCAATGTTGCCATGCTTGTTTATACTGATTCTGTTAATGGAATATATAAATTAAGATGCCAAGTCAAACTACAAAGTCCAGATGTAAATGAACAAGATGCCTCCTCATGCTCCTAATTCCCAGCAAATATACCGGAATGCTATCAATGGATTTGCAAGGGAGTACTGCACCACTGTGAACAACTTTGAGAAAGCATATCGACCTTTAATGAAAAAGACCTTGAGCAAACAACCAAAGACAAGGACATCGAAATCTTGGTTTCACAACTATAAGAAAATATGTTGCTAATACTGCAATCCCCACTGCTTTATTGCATTATTTGATATGATAAGAAAATAACTAATGATGCACAGATACATACACAAATATCTCATAACCATGTCGAAAGTTTATAAAACATATGTGAAATTACAAAAGGTTTGGGAAAAAGGCTGATGGTGATGATGATGTGAAATAACAAAAAGCTGATATTGTAACTGTGTCCACAGTACTATCCGTCCATCATAGGAAATAACTGTATATCTTACAAGGATTCATTATTCACAACACTGCATTCCATATGTACTTGCAAGAAGGTAATTACTCTTTAGTTCAATACATTAGAAAAGGTTTTTGGATATTATCAAAGCAAACAAATAAATAACTCTAGAGTTTTAATTCCAACAAGAACACATTTTGTCGCCGTAACGTAAAATGCTAAATTATAGAGAGAAGACAAAAACTTCAGCACCAGTTAAAATATGGGGCCTCGCATATTGAGTCTCAAAAAAAAATAAGGGCCTCACATATTGAGGCCCCTTCAAAAAGTAAAACAATACGAGTATTACAACCAGTAAAAGAAAAAAAAAGAAGTGAGCACTCACAAACGGTGTCAAAAGTATTTTCGAAGACCGAAATATCAATAACCATCTAAATACAAAATTATAATATTGAAAAATGAAACATTCACTGTAAAAATGTTGCAAAAATGTTAAAAAAATAGATAGAAGTGCATGGCGTTAAAGATTTTATTCCTTTCCATTCTTTAGAAGTACGAGATGTGTTACATAAGTAAACTTTATCAGTTCAACACAAAAAAGACAATGCAAAGGTCAAGTTAACTTTCAAAAAATAAAAATAAAAGATAATGACAAAGTAAAAAGTTCAGCAACATTACTAATGCTCTTTTGTATTCCTTCTCACCATACAATGCATCTCCAAGAAGTACCTGAAACAATAAATGACAAGATCCTTACATAGGGAGTAGTGAAAAAAACTATGGGCGCAACAAACAACCTAACTTATGATCCCTTAGAAGAACATCTTGACAACTAGATAACATAAAAAGCTAATCAAGACTCACGAGTATAGAAACAAAGGATGTCAGAGAAGACAAACTCGTGCATGAGAAAGGATAATGGAGCACATTAAAGCCCCATTGTGATCGAATAATTAAATCCACAATTAGCATTCATAATATCTTTAACATAGTCCAAGATACACACTAAAGTTTTAAAAATATGCCCCCTTTAGCTACAACAAGATGGGATGCCTGGCATTTACCAAAAAAAAGGATGTCGCATGTTTCTTAGGTATCTCATAAGGCTCAGGCATACTCAAGATCAACACAGAATTTTGTGTGTTAATAACATAGACCAATAAAAAAATCTACTAAGATCTAAAACTAATCACAAAGAGCTAGGACCCATTCTTGTGCTTGTGGAAAAGTTGGTGTTTCATTAATGAAACTTAAAAAAAAGCTTCACCATTAATTTGTGGAATTTTCTACGTATAACCAGTCTAGCAAGGTAAGTAGTCTTTTTCTATTTTCGTACAATTACAATATTGATGGGGCTAAACTGTGGGGACAGCAACTTAATGAGAAAGACACTGGTGGGAGTCAACGCTCGCCACAATATTACAGCAAAATGCTATATTCAAAAGTGAAATTAAATAAAACAAGAGCTCCAAATTGGAATGTCCAACCCCTTTTATGCTACTTGTCTTTCAAGTTTCTAATACATATTAAAAGCTAACCCATTCCCATTACACAATCCACCAACTTCCTAAGCATACTCCGACTCCCAACTCTTGGAAACTCCTCATGTTGACTCTCTCTTTACCCCTTTCAAGACTTTGGAAACCCACAATTACACCATTATATGCTCGTAGAAACTAGTAGTCCATGCTGGATTAGTGGGTCCCATAATACTTGATAAGAACGACCATCTTTGTACGGCAAGTCCATAATATTAGTAGCCTTAAACTCATTTGAGAATACTCGCACATGTACTTTGAAATGGGCTAAGACAAGTCATGCAATACAACTACAATCTTTTTCAATTCGAACTCGGTGAGTTGCTATCGGGATCTTCCACTTAAAATGAAATAATAGCTCATCCTACCTTCTAGCATTGAGAGCATTGTCATACACGTTTCGGTGTACATTCTTTTTAACAAGCACGTCAATAAGAACAACCAATGAAAATGGCATCAGCTCCTTTGAGCATATCTCTCATGGCAACCCCGGTTCAGATCAATGTATCAAAAAGCGCTAGTCCTAGGCGGCCTGGGGAGTCCAGGCCGCCTAAGTGGACGCCTAGAACCTGGGCAGCTGCCCAGTTGAAAAAAAAGAAAAAATCCCAATATACCATATTCCAAGTTAAAAAAAAAAAGATAGAAGTCGAGAAGAGAATTTCGATAATCCATATTGTTAAAACAGTAAACTGTAAAACCATAAACGAGTAGGATATAAAAGTCAACACTCAATACAATAGAAATATACAAAAATTTAGAAAATATACAGTTTAACAAAAGTCAACACTCATGACTCAACACAACAGTCAACAGACTCAACACTCAACAGTCAGCACCAAGAGGCAAGAGTCTTCAGTCATCATTATCATCATCATCAGAAGGAATATCAATAGGGCAAGCCTCATCATATGCATCAGAGTTGAGGCCATCATCATCAGAGTCATCTCCCTCTTTAATATAACGCTCATCCTGCTCTGTTTCTTCTGAATCTGCCTCTTCCTCCTCCTCTTCTTCTACCTTCCTCTTACTAGTATGTGCAGTTTGTGCAGATGAGGCCCTAAGAGTCTTGGCTGCTCTACCCTTTTTTGTGTGCTTCTCTGAACTCAAATAATGTATAATTTCCTCCTTGGTAGCCTCAGAAACATTTTTACACGAGGCAATATCCCTTGTCGTACCGGCAAGGTGTTTTTTAAATCGATAAATGCCCCCATTAGTATCCTTTCCACAATAATTACATTTAATACGATTTTTATCACTTGGATTCGAGTTATAATCATACTTCCAACCCGGACCACCACTCCGACTAGAAACTGGAGAAGATACTTCCATAGAACAAGGCTTATTTTCATCCTTTTTTGGTTCTTCAAAATTCAGAAGATGTTTAATCTCATCTCGAAATGCTTCAGGAACCTTTGTACAAGAAGCAACATTACTTCTAACACCAGCAAGGTGTTTTTTGAATCGGCTAATACCCCCATTGGTATCTTTTTCACAAAAATTACACCTTATACAATTTTTATCATTTGGTTTTGGGTTGTACTCATACTTCCAACCCATATCACTTTTTCTAGGAGTAGCAGAAATAGATCTATGACAAGGATTTTGTTCTTGTTTTTGTTTTTCATAACTTAAAAATTGCTTAATCTCCTCCTTGATAGCTTCAGGAACATTTTTACAACGGGCAACATCTCCCTTAAGACCGGCAAGATGTTTCTTAAACCGGTATATGCCTCTTTTTGTATCTTTTTCACAAAAATTGCATCTAACGCAATCTTTGCCATTTGGATTCGGTTTGCATCCGTATTTCCAACTCGGATCTCCACTCTGACTAACTCCTGAAGAAGACATCTCAAAATAAAACAAGCAATCTAAAAAATGCACTTACTTTGGTTGCTTGAACTCCAAGCTTTGAGAAACACTTCGATGATTTGATCAAATGAAATGTAGTTTTTTGGAGGTTTTTGTTACTCTAAAGGGGGTTCTGGTGGGTTTAGGGTTCAAATGAACCTAAAAGCCATCATTCTTAACTTTTATATTTTTGGAAAAAATGAAAAAAAAAAAAAGTTTTCGGCCTCTGGGTGGGGCACGGGCCCTGGGCGGCGGCCTAGGCCTGGGCAATGCGCCCAAGCCTTCTGGACCGCCTAAGTGCTGGGTGGTCCGCTTTTAAAATTATTGGTTCAGATAAGACATAGAGAGCTAGGGCACAGCCACAGTAGTAGTCATAAAGTAGTAGAAAGAAATCAGCTCCTTTGAGTATATCTCCCATGGCACCCCCACTTCAGATAAGACATAGAGCGCTAGGGCACAGCCACAGCAGTAGTCATAAAGTAGTAGAAAGAAGTCATTTGAGTGAAAGCACAATTGATTGTCACCACCATCATTGAAAGAAAGGAGCAGTTTTTTCCCCCTAGTTGTTTCGATGCCTACTTCTTCCCCTCCATTACAAATATCATTTATTTCACTTATTCCTTCTGGGACACAAAAACAAGATATCTCCAATATTTTGCAATCTACTTCTTCACATCCACCTGGTTCTTCATATCCACATAATCCTCTCTAAGAGTATGATTTAGTTCTTGATCCTCTTTAGTAATTGGATCGCCATTAAAGTCACTATCGCCAACTTCTTTCTCAATACCTAAATCATCATCCAAGTACTTGTCAAAGACTAGTGGTAAGCCCCAATCCACAACAAGCTGACCTTGAGAACTATTTGATGATAACAAAGTTTCACCATGGTTGTTCTCCAAAAGAGGTCCATAATACCCACCCAAATCATCATCAATTTGGCACCTAGGTCAATGACATAGTTTACCAAACTCTTGATTATGATCACACCATGAATATGACCCATTTATCACCATCTGGGTCTCCGCCTTATCGCTTGAGGTTACATGGCTGAGTTCTTGCTCACTACGGGCTTCTTGATGCTCGAGTTGTAAGGTTAATTGCTCCACTTGCCTCCAAAGTGCGTCCAACTCTTCATCTATTGCATTGTTCACTTCGTAGTTGCCACGACCACCTCTTCCCCTTCTTGCCGCCATGGAAAAGGATGTGCTGAATGAAGATAGCAACCTGCCCAAGCCTGAATTCAGGCTCTGATACCAAATGATGCAGCTAAATTGTCGGGACTGCAACTTAGTGAGAGAAACACACAAAGAGAAAATGTAGAGAGAGAAAATTGGTGGGAGTCAAAGCTAACCACAATATTACAGAAAAATGTTATATTCAAAGTGAAATTACATAAAACATGAGCTCCAACTTGGAATGCCCAACCCCTTTTATGCTACTTGTCTTTCAAGTTTTTAATACATATTAAAAGCTAACCCATTCCCATTGCACAATCCACCAAGTTCCTAAGCATACTTCAACTCCCCAATCTTGGAAACTCGTGACATTGACTCTCTCTTTACCCCTTTCAAGACTTTGGAAACCCACTATTACACCATTCTAGGCTCATGGAAACTACCAGTCCATGCCGAATTTGTGGGTCCCATATTGGGCCCTACATCAAATATCAATACAAAACAAACACTAGTTTTTTCCTATTTCAATCTACTCCAATTTCTTATCAATCATACCATCTCTAAGCTTAGCTCAGATGCAGCTAGCTCCTTTTTGGGTATGAAGCGTTGTTAAACTGAGTACCCTCCACACACTAGCTCTCCTAAAAAGGAGATGATCCAATTGCGCTTTCCAGTACAGCTATCTTGTTACAACTTCACTCCAAGTCACCAGCTTTTTTTCATAGTGATAGAAACAGATCTAAAACCAAACAATCCATGCATTGAATCAAAGCATATTAAATCATCATTGTGCTTGAACAACAAAAACCATGGTCAGAGTTCATAATGCATATCAGAGTACAGAATACACGCTAATGTTTTATAAACATAATCCCTTTGGCTACCATAAGATGAGATGCATGGCATTCATCATCATCATCATCATCATCATCATTATGATCATCATCATTATGATCATCATCATCATCCAAGCCTAATCCCAACATTTGGCGTCGGCTACACGAATCATGCTCCGCATTCTGCTCTAACAGGATCATACCCTCCATTAGACTGTAAATCACCATATCTTTCTTCACTACTTCCATCCATGTCCTTTGGGGCCTTCCTTTTACCCTTGTGAAGCCTTCCACTTGAACAAAATCACCCCTCCTCTCGACGATGCACATGACCAAACCACCTAAGTCTACTTTCCCACATTTTATTGGCTATTGGAGGTACCCCTAAGTTTCCTCAAATATATTCGTTCTGAATTCTATCCTTCCATATGTCGCCACTCATCCATCTCAACATCCTCATCTCAGCTACAATCATTCCATGGATGTTGTTTCTTGACCGCCCAATGTTCTGTCCCATAAAGCATGGATGGTCATACAGTGGAACTATAGAACGTCCCCTTTAGGTTTATTGGTATGCGATGATTATGCATAGCATTTATCAAAGAAGAAAAAGAGGATGTCATATATGTTTCTAGCAATTGGATAAAATGCAGAATTATAAAGTTCAATGCACACCTCTACATGTTTAGATATATGTGAAGAAGAGCAACCAAAGATGTCTCATTCGCCATGACCAATTAATCATATACAAGCGCTTTCGAAGAATAGGGCACATTGCAATCTAATATACCCTGAGTAACCAAAATATTAAAATAAACACATACACACGCAAGCACGCGCACACGCATGATGCACACATGGGTGAGCACAATCACGCACTCGTACACACACGCACGCACACACACAATGCAAGCATGCGCGCACACAAAGATAAAAAAAAAAAGTGTCATAAAAACACAATATTCATATCAATCAAGAATTCCACATCACTGTTAAAAGCAATCTTAAAAGTACATTGGAAGCAGCATATCGAGCAAGAGCTAATGAGGTTGTGACTTTAAAACAGAAAATGACTAAAAAGCATCTAGACTGAGCTTCTAAGGAGCAATAATCCCAGTAGAATTCCAACATCTTAGTCAACAACTTGTGCGAAAAGCTAGTGAATAAAAGAGAAATTTCGCATTGCTAAAAACCAATCAATGCACAAGAAAATCCTGTAGAAAACATAGAACTCATTCTTTTTGTCTAGTTAATTTATATGGTTGATAGTAGAATGTAAGGCACGGTGAACTGATGATATTATAATAAAGGGAAAGTACACGTTCAAGCACACAAAAGAGACTGCATTACAAGCTAAAACATTAGCCACCTCCTTTGCTTCTCTATGCAAACATCCGCCCACCAACATGAAATAAGTTCAGTTGTACATCCCACTCATATTAACATCAGCCATTTCCTCGGCTTCACCGTTCACCCAGAAAATAAATAAATAAATAAAACCAAAATAACAATTGAACTAACAATATCAAGGCATGCCGAATTGTGAGACACATACACATGTTTGTGAGCATACCAAAGTAGCAAGCTTGTAACATCTAAGAACTCAAACAAAAACATAAACCAAAACTAGTATGTCTTTTTGGACACAATTGCCACATTATAAAAGTGTAGAGCAAATGAGAACCTCCATTTCCCCTTTTCAATGTAAGATAGCTTCAGTAGTAAGGACACCCTTCTCATGGTGTTCATTTAATATATGATGGTGTAGTCCTGTCGTCATACAATATAAATACACATACATAACCATGATAATTGCTGCTACTGGTGTCACAAGAAATACGTTGGAGTATAAAAATATGGAAAAAATCATATAGAAAGTACATTTCTCGACAATGTAGCCAGTAAAGTCATATTTAATGTTTTCCACACAAGATAATGCATATGACATAGGATTAGGGAGCATAAAATTAAACAAAATCAACTTCCAACGCATGAAATTGAAGCATGAAAATGGAATAAAGTTTTCCTTCGACCAAAAATACATTCACCACACGCATCCCAACTTACAAGGTGTAAACAAAACTTGACAGTATAATTTACAAAGCAATAGCATGAACAAGATCCACCAAACATATAACTTACATCTTACCAAATTTTCAGCCTTGGCATGAGGGCTCAATTCTACATTCGTACCAGTTGAAGAAATGAGAAAGCAACCCTGTTCATGAATGTTATAAATTGTCAATAGAACAAATCCTAATTCCACTCTTTATATTTTACAAACAAAACAGAACTTACAAAAAGAAACTCGTAAGTATCTTTTCTATCAATTCGATTTTTATGAGGAATATTTTTAAATATCCATAAAATTAAGTAAATAGTCTGCCTTAAAAAACCAGCAAACGAGGAATATCAGCAATGCTACAATAGAAACAACTCTAGGGGAACATCACTACATCCCAAATCGAATCACACAATGCGACCTCAACAGCATAAGGAAGTGCAATAGCTCATCCCATTAGATGTGAAATATCTAAAGAAATTCCATGCCAAAAATATTGAAGTTTCGGAAAATAAGAAAAGATTTTTCATAGTTGGATATTACACTGGTTGAAGTGGTGACTCTAAGATGATTCACTTAAATAATGAAAAAAGAACACTCGTATTCTATTCTGAACTTCAAAAGTTTGAGAAGGAAAATTACTCCAGAATATTATAGGAAAATTACTCCACATTATTATCGGGAAGAAAAAACTAAAAAGCAAATATCATCAAATCAACATTCCATCTGATCAACCACACCATTCCATATGATCAACCACACTTCCCTCCAAATAAAATTTCAAGAATGCTAGCAACTCCATGGTCATCCTAACCAAGCTCAGCAGTGTTGTTACAATGAAAATTCAGTTTAACAAAGCCATTCATTACACAACAAACATCCTAACCATAAAATGCTGAGGGGATTAAAGCTGAGTTAGATTTCACTAATGCTAAGTTATACAGTAGCTATAATTTAGATTTATAACCTACATTGAGAACCATCTTCATCAGACATTGGTAACCACCAAGCTTCAATTATAAATTTAAATAAAAAATTGTTTTAAGATTTGCAACAAGGACTACATAAAATATCACCAACTGGTTAGGGAGGTTGGAAAGTGGGAACCACATCATTCCCCTTCTAGAAATACCATGTAAACCTCCCCTAAATGATAACAGGCATTCAAGTAACTCCTAAAAACCTTAGAATAAATGGAGAATCAAGAGTTTTCCCACACATAACACAGGCTTTGGCAAAAGTTGGAAAGTGGGGATCAATCTTGTGGATTGAAGAACAGTGGAGCCAGTGGTATGATATATAAAGTAGGAAAATAGATAACATGTGAGGAGCCTCGCCAAGTAGCTCTTCCCATATGGACGAAACAGAGGCCATTTTTGGAATCCATGTGTCCATAGCACATATTGATACAAACTTCAATGAAGCCAAATAGCCTCTAATATAAATTTCCAAACACCAACATCAATAAGTTGTGGATTGCTTTTCAAAAACATAAAAATGCAATCAACATACCTAACTTGAGTCATCAATAAGTGGGCCATCGATGCATACAATAAGTTGTTCCCTCATATAGGGACCTAATGGAGAAATCATGCGACCCTCTCTCTTCGTCTTTGTCATCTCTTAACACTCAGTGAGTGAAACCTCCAGCTCCGGTGAGTCCGAGGCTGCCCAGTCAAGATCCTGGCAGTTCTGGATGTAGAAACCTGAAAATCCCCTTTTCTATTTTTTGCACAAAATCAGAAGAGTCAAATCTCAGACTTGGCCGATCCGTGATTGACTTGTGACTCAGGCTTAGACCTTGGCGAGGTTTGTTCCCAAGCTTGTATTTTTAAACATTGTCAACATGTGTAATTACCTAGAATCCAACACTAGATACTTTCCATCCTCAGTCACGATCTTAATTTCTATTAATGGTCCCATTTCAACTTAGAATAATAGTTTTGAGATCTATGCAGACCTTTGATCTCAGAGAACATGTGCACTTCCACAATACTTGTAGCTGTTTGGGAAAATCAGATGAATGCGAACAAGTAGTGAGCAGCATCACAAAATATGCTTTACAACTTGATAAAACTGGACACACCCTAAAACATACACAAGCAAAAAACTTGCTTTTCTGATACCTCATACCTTATCCGATTTTATTATTACAAGCAAAGATATTTAGGCATGATTCGATGCTTGATGAAATAAAATATACATAGTAAACTATAATACAAAAGCATCTTCCATACACTAAAGTTGGAACTGCAATCTATGGTAAATCAGGTTGTTGTGTTGGATTATGCCAAGAGCGGGTTGCGGTGGGGGATTATGTCAAGGATGACGATGGAAACAATGTTGATAATGAACTAGATCAAGAATAACGGTAATAATGAAATATGTATAAATAAGAACGTTTACCTTTAGTACAAGTAGGTCATAGTCATCCTTAGTTGTTAGATGTGAAATTAGGCGGCTAGTGGTGCGCCTTTGACTAAGAGCAAAGTGCCAAAAAAAATTCCTCAAATTTTGTGACCCACTCGTAGCTCTCAGATTTTGCACCTGAAAACTAGGGATGATTGTGACCTTCTTGTGCAAAATGTAAATGGACTTATAGTATATAATCTCATTAAATGATATGTGTTCTTTTTTTGTTTTTTAGTGGGGGGGCGGGGGGCGGGGAAAGAAAGAGAGAGAGAGAGGATCTTGTTTGTAGCTTGTAAGTAAATGGCATCTTATGCTAAGCATTTCTTAAATATAACTTTAGCAATAATAAAACTACATGGCAGTCCAACCAAGAGCTAGGTTGGATACTGCACAAAATTCCCAAAAATTTCTGAAACTGATCTGTGAATATCTATCAGAACTTAATGTGAGACATCACAATCCTGAACAGTTTCAGGTTCCAGGTCATAACCCAATCAATATAACCTTAAAAAGAACAATGATGGTTTGGGAAGTTGCTTGCACAAACCAAAAGAAAACAGATAATAAAATGTATGAAGAAAAGAGCCAATTGCATTTCAAATATAAATTAGGAATAAATGATTGCCACAAAAATCAAAACACATATCATTTCCTGATTGTAACACTATGACTAAAATTCCGAGAATTTTACGCAGATATTTCAACCAAAACCTTCACCCATTCCAGATGACCAAGATATGACCAAAATTCCTAGAATTCTAACCTTTTTTTTTTTTTACAAGAATAGAATTCTACCCAGATATTCAACCAAAAACTTCAGACATTCCAGAAAATCACCAAGTACAACACAAAATGTAACCAAGCAAAAGGACGTTGAAACTAAAACCTTAAATCATTTGCGAAACACTGCGAGCTTGATAATAATAAAACTGTAAGAATAAAGTAAAATGGCACCTAAGGCTGAACGACAATCTAGATAATCATTGCATATAAAATCAATAAGGCTGGAAATGCTAAGCAACCTGGAGAATAAAAACAGTGCTGAAACCTGATATAAATTACAGGAAAATGGCAGTGTGGCTAAAAATAATATGGATTGTTCCTAATTTAATTGAGAAAGTAAACTTTAAGTAAGTGCACAGCTCATAATCAGATGCGTGCAGGGCAACCCTCGATGCAAAATTCACTATAAACTCGACCGAATTTTTTCTGAAACTAGTATGAAATAGATAGGATTCTTACAAGCATTTGAGCAGATTCGTATAATCCATGATCGAGAAGAGAACTGACTTGGTCCTTGGTCACATCCATTTATCCCTTTCTCTTTTCCTTTCTCCCTCTCTCTCTCTTTCAAAACTCCAGCTACTCTCTCTCAATCTAGAAATATCCTCTCTCTGCAATACCTGCTGTATTCCGCTGCTTCTCTCTGATGAAAACGCGGGGGAAACGAGCGGCAAGCCCTAGCTTTAAACCCCTGTATTTGAAATGTGGCGTTGATAATAGAATTACGGGACTACCCATGTAAAGTTCCTTTGTGGCCATATGACCACGCTATTAAAATACTCCTAGAAGTCCTCGCCGTTCGTGGCAGTGATGGAGGGAGAAAGAGTCCTTTATGTTGAGTACCGGTTCTTCCCATTAGGAGTACCCGTCTGGTGTTAAGGGAAATGGTCTTGGGGTGAGGTTTGCACGAGAGTACTCGTGTATACTATATAAGTAAAGCGCACCACAAATTTAGCCTAGATGATGTAGTCTTGGTATCAGATCATTCTAAGTTAGCTTGAAAATCTATGTATAGTCCTAATTATGAAATTTTAAATTTTAAAATCAATATACGTTGAGCAGATCTATAAATATTTAAAAATCTTTAAACTAAACAGATCAGATAACTTGTTATATCGTACACTATTTTTAGAACTTGAAATTTACTTTTTCTTTATAACTAGATCGATAGGAAGATTTTTCAATTTCAAAATATTCTTCTACTAAATTTTTTAAATGCACCTTACTCCTAGAGTAATTATTTAAAAAAAAAATTCCATTTTTTTTTCCCTTGAGCAATATCTTGAGACTTCAGAGAAATGAAATTCTAGATATTTAAGGAATGTGTCACAAACTATGGCCCAAATACCAAGCTAGGGTCCATGCTTGCCCAGTTCGACTCAACCCTAACAGGGCCAGGACCAAGGATAGCCTGGCCCGTTGCCACCCTTATCTAGCATGGTCTCAGCCTAACCGCCAAACAGACCTAGAGGCAATTCCTCACTAGGAGGGATGGTTTTTAATAAGCTTCCATATTTAAACCAACATTCCAACTCGAAAAATAAATTATACAAGCCAGAGACTAAAACAACTGCAATTATTAGATTTAGAACGAACTTTGATAAATTTTCAGTTTTGGGGCATCACAATGCAAATCCGCCCTCGATGGATCAACCTAGTCCATTGCCATATTAAAAGTCTTTTTCTCTTGTTATATTCTTTCTAAATAACGAGGAAATTTCTTTTTATTTAGAAATAAATATTCATAAAAAATTATTTATACAATTATATTTTTTATTATCTATTTCAAATTAAATGCCTACCGAAATTTATTTTTCATTGGAGGAGAGTACCCATCAACTCTACAAATATCATCCTCTCTCTACCATCACTAGAAACTACTCGAATAGTTTTTATCAAGGATTTTTATTTTAATAAAATATAATTTTTCTTTATATAATTTTATTATCTGTCATCTTTTTTTTTTATTAATTTTTATTTTTTGATTTGTTCGTGCTCCCATTGTCTTCTTTTTTTATCTTAATTTTATGGGAAATACATCTTCTCCTAAAATTCATGCTTATAAATCCAATTAAGGTTTTCCTATATTTGTGTTCCAATTGATGCTTTATT